ACTGCTTCAAAAGAGTATCTTCCTTTGGCAAGGAAGAAGGTAATGATGTCAGTCACCTTCTGGGGATTTGTCTGTATGTCCCTTTGGGGTATTTCAGTAGGGGGAGAGGGCATGTCTGCTTTGGTGCTAGTTGTTTTGATACTGGATATGCTCAGTTGATTATAGTGTAAACATCTTGTACATTGATTAATACCTTATGCATAAAGAAACAAAATAATATTTATATATCAGACGATTATAACGACTAAAATCTTTTGTAACCGAACTAGAAAGAATGACAACTCATATGTATGCCCATACTATCAACATAATTTCGTCATTTTGATAAAATATCTTATAATCTACAATATTGATAAATGATTAACGATTGCCAAAAAAAGAAAAAAAAAAAAAAAAAGACACAGCCATGAAGCATGAGAAAAAAGATTGTGTTTGTTTTAACAAAACTAACTTCTTCACAACACGAGGCCTTTTTAAATCACGCTCAAGAGTCCTTTAACAAAATCTTGTTAGTTTTTGTAATTTTTCTAGGTGTTTGTAAAGCTAATTTTAATCACGAGTATTAAAATAATCACAAAAGCGAAATAGAGTATTTTGGTGGTAAAGCCACTTATTTCCAATCAGCGCCAAAGCGAACCGCCTGCTCTGGATATTGTTGTCCGCGTTGACCTCTTTATTCTTTGCAGGGCCTCCGCCCAGAGTCGGCAAAATAGAGGAATCGAACCCGAAATCCGACAGGTCATCCCGGAACCCGAGTCCGAATCTGAACACCGCGAGGACGAAGGTTCCAGAGATGGAGGTCTACTTGTATCAGCGAGGAAAAGGCCCGATCGACACGTTCAGGACGAGCCTCGGGGGTTGGGACCAGAACCAGTTGGAGGTCCGAGACATTCTCGACAAGTAGCTTCAAATCGCTTTACTCTTTCAATACAAGGTCGGGTCGCGGCGTTCCGATCTGGTTTAACCCCAGGAACGGCAGGTCTATGCTGGCTTATAAAGATGGATCTACGGTTCACATTGACGGAGAGCCCAAGGTACTTCATTTCTTTATCTTTTTATTTTTATTTTGGGATATTTGTTGAAATGTCACCCGAACTTATACCTAGTTTCAATTTGTCACCTGAAAAAATAATTTAAGTGAAATGTCACCTGAATTTTTCAAAATCCATGATTTGTCACCTGAGTTTAACATCATCTAATTTTCCATATATTTTCAAGGGTATTTTAGTCTTTTCATTTTCAAGGATATTTTGAAAATGAAAAAAATTATTATTAAAAAAATAAAGCTTAAATGTAAAAATGGCTGCGGATTAAATGTGAAAAGATATATAATTTTTATAATTTTCAAGGGTCTTTTCATAATTTTTTTATAATGAATTTTCCATTTTTAAAATACTCTTGAAAATAAAAAGACTAAAATACCCTTGAAAATAATTGGAAAATTGGATGATGTTAAAGTGAGGTGACAAATCATGGATTTTAAAAAATTCAGGTGACATTTCACTTAAATTTTTTTTTCAGGTGACAAATTGAAATTAAGGTATAAGTTCAAGTGACATTTCAATGAATATCCCTTTTATTTTTTATGAAAACCCAGTTTGTGAAATTAATTGAAGTAAGTTTCGGTTTGGTTGCCGAGAAAATTGGGTTGCATTGGGTAGAAATAAATGTAACTTTAATGTGGTCATAAGAGATAGTGAATTTGAGCGTGAGATAGAATAGATGAAGAAGTGTTTGACATTTAATGCGGAATTTTTCATATTGAGAATGCTTTGTTAAAGCAATTTATATTTTCATGGTTTGCAGCCATGATATTCCAACTATTTGAAATAGGATAGTTCCTCCATACAATCAGAACCTTTAAAGCAAGATATATTATAGCAATTTACTTCGTTGAATTTGAGCCATCAATTTCCATGCTTATTTTCTGTTCTTTTGTTTACATGACATTCTGTTTGCAGCATAAGCATGGATTTGATTTTGACTATTGAGTTCACCTAAAGAACTTGGCGGATTCATCTTATAGGTTTGGATAATTTATATGATAGACACTGAGTTTTACAACCACATATTCATAAACAGTAGGATTTCACATAATTTTTCTTGAAGAATTCGTTATCATTTGTTGGAAAATTTGGCATCAAAGTAATAATTTGATCTTTCAAAATAAGACTCCGTCCCTTAATCAAGCCATTAGTCATATTAAATTTCTCCTCAGTATAAGGTATTAAGTAATGACATTCAGTTGGTTAAGAGCATTTATCTATACACAAGAGGTCTTAGGTTTGATTTCCACTCCCTCAATATCACTTGTGCCGAAAAAGAAAAAAAAGCACAAAATATTGTCCTCCAATTTGGTTGGGTAAATAATAACCTAATAGCTGTATTTAATATTAGAAGGAGGCTTGGAGTTAAAATTCTCTTTGCAAACATGATGACGTACGATAACAGTCTGAGGTTTAGGTTGAGATATAAAGGATTATGTATGCCTATTTCAGCGTAGAAATATAAAAGAAAATTTAATGGAAAGACCCAAAAACCAAAATTTGAAGTAATTTTTGATATTTCCATAGGAAATCCAGAGATTGATGCGGACATCAGTGACAAACCTTTTAAGGTTTACCAAAGATGGAAGAAACGATCAGCCAAGCCAACATTATCATTATGGTTGGGGTGAAATCTGAGTTTCCAGATTTCAGTAGGAAAACTCTTTTCTTTTCTTTTTTTCCAGATTCCAGATTTCACTAGGATTTCTAGATTTTCCAGATTTCACTAAGTTTTAGTTTCCAGTTTTTAGTAGGATTTGATTTAAGTTTCCTAGCTTGTTTGGATTGGTTCCTTTGTGAATTAGGATTCCTTTTTAGTAAGGGATTTTTATCCTATTGTCTTTAGGTTTAGTTTGCTATAAATACTCCCAATGTAGTTCTTAAAATTCAGATTTGAGATATTAAGAAAAGTTTACTTTCCAGAGATTGGAGACTCCTTGGTGTGAAGCCAAACTCTTTTTGGTGTGAAGCCAAGGCATTTTTTACCACCTAGTTTCTGTTTTTCCATTGTTTTCGCTTCCGCTAAATTACCCAAATACTCAACTCACCCATATCCTACATCAGAGATACTGAAGAGAAGAGATTAGAGGCGAAGATAAACAAGCATGAGAAACAGCTGAGAGAAAGGGAGATGCATTTGAACTGAAGATTTGCTGAATTAAACTCAAATATTGTATAACAAACATCAAAATCCACATATTTAAAGATTCCATGAAGTTAATTTAAAGATTAATTTAAAGATTCCATGAAGTTGATTCTCACAAGTCAAAACTAGAAGCATAAATATCATTTCGAAAGTTGAAGCAGTAACTCGTAGTGAGACAATCCAAAATGGGTTCCTACAGTTTGGGTTTCTTGGCGTTCGTCTGACGAAAACAGGACCACTTTCCTAAAAGTCAAAATGGCAAACGTTCCCGTAAAGAACCTGCAGGATTCATGTTATAGGACTTGATCATTTATATCGTAGACACTGAGTTTTACAACCACATATTCTTAATAAAAAAAATTAGGATTTCACAGAATTGTTACGGTGGGTACTTGACCCGTTATATCAGAAACTGTTGCTATTAGCACAGCACCATAGAAAGTCATGCACCACATACTTTCTTATGTGTTTTTTGTCTATTTTCATGAGTAGTCTGTCAGGATCTCCTGTATCTTTTGTCTTTCCACCCTTTCATTTCCTTCTAAAAGGCAAATAATTTGATTTTCTCCCATGTAAAGGAATGCTCTAAAGGTGGACTGTTTAAAATTTATTTGCCACAAGATTCTTTGATATGCATTATGTTGCAGTGACATGTGATATGTCTTTTGGTGCTAGTTTTCCTACTTAATTATTCTCTAAATGCAGGATTCCTTGATCCAACCGGTGACAAAAATCTTGCTTGGAGTAGCTGTTATAACCGTCTTGATAACCTTGGTTTTGAGAGATCCTCCACAGTGGGTCCAAAATTTGAACATTTCTGGCTTGAATTTTCCTACTTGGATATATCATTGCTCTGGTGGTAATAGTTTTTACTCGGATGAGGAAGAGAACTGGAGATTTGCTGAAAAAGTATGGTTGGTGAAAGGCGCCATTGATGCTTTGCCTTGTAAGGCCTTTTTGTTTCTCAAATTTTGTTAAAAAGAATTTGATTCAATATCAACTGAATTTTGACGATGAAGCGACGCTCATCTAGACGTCATCATAACTGTAATTGGCGACAAGCTGCACTGAAAGATAAATTGATTAGCAACAAACTTAAATTGGGTCTGAAATACCAAACCTCGGAAACAACATTCCTAAGATCATGATGTTGCAACATTAAGATTCAAAACAATAGATTGATAAGTGGGTGATTATCAACCAATGCATATTATAAAATGCATCCAGACGGTAAATTAACTGGTTTATAAATAGTTACATTATTTTGCAATTTTTTCTTCTCTGTATATAGTGGTATTGTGGAATATGTTTCTACTACTTGATGCCTTAAATGCCTTTAGCTTATGGGACTTAATAAAACAGCATAAAGAGTGCTAGCTTTTTTCTTTTCTTGGTACTTCGATTCAAGAAGTACATGTTAGTTAAATCTGCCTCAATCGTGAACGTTTGAAGTTTTATTTTCTTCCACACAATCTTACTTGGATCTCAATTTTCCTATCATTCTTCTTATAGCTCCGGAATGATTTCCCTAGCGTGAAAATGCCTGAACAATCACAAAGTCATTAGGGGTAATAACGTCTTTGAATACATTTCATCGTCTTTGACATTGGTTATCAGCTGAAGCCTGAAACAGAGGGAGGAGTCTGTCAATTGGATATTTCCAAATTGGCAACCACCACTTTCTTCTTCGATCAATATAGAACGATAATTCTAGAGTTATTGGAAATGTGAGTACATACATTTTGACTAGATTGACACCTACTACTCATTCATAAATCATGCGGTACCCCTAAATCTAGTTCTCCAAATATTATAGTTTGTTTATTTCAAGATACAACTAGCATTGCCCAATTCTACTCAACATATTGACCACGGTGAAAAATTGTCATCTGAGATGACGCTCACTAATACGACAGTTTAATGAACCTCTTAGAATTCCATTATGGTACATAAGGTAATTTAAAACTCAGATATGCTAATGTAAGAGAAGACTGCATAATTGAAGGAGATTGCACAAACTATCAAGGAGATGAAGTGAAGCAGACAAAGTAGGAATCCCGACAAAGCAATTGATTGGTTGCAGATACGATCAATTCTCAATGCTAAGCTTATGATTGAAAATTCTTGTTGGCTTATTCCATCCTGCACACAATAGAATAGAGCAATTGCTATAGTCACGTAAGTTGTGTCAAGGTGGAAATTTCATCCGAACCTGGCCAATAAGCAAGCAACTACGTTTGATTAGCTCCAAATCCTATATCAAGACCCCAAATTTGAGTTGACTACTTTTGATCAGCTAGGCCTAATAAAAAAAACAATTCAGTCTATCTGAACATATTTATTGATTTGTAGTACGTTAACAAATACTTTCTTCAAATGCATAAAATATGGAGCTCTTGCATACATATATTCATGTATATACTACATGAGTTGATTAATGCTCTGCAGTAGTTTAAGCAGAAATGTATTCATGACAAAAGCACGTGATGAGAGAGAGAGAGAGAGAGAGAGAGAGGAATTGTCATCCACGAAACAATAGGTGATGAATGGTAAATATATGGCTAGAAAAGATAGTGATGGGAACTTACTAATATCAATTGTTTGAAGATGTCATTAGCCTTGCAAGTATTTATGTGCAGACATTTGAGGAGGTGGCGTTTTTAACAAAGGTCGCAAAAATTTAGTTGCTCTTTTAAGAATAACAGTTTTTATTAAACTTTTCAACAATAGCGAAAAATAAGAGGGTGCAAGGCCTAAGTAGGAAATCAAAGTGTTTACCCTCCAAATTAAAAGTCCTATGCATCCCCATTGTTCACTATTGTTGAAAGATTTGATAAAAACTGCAGTTGTTAAAAAGAGGGAGAAAATCTTTACAAGTTTTGTTAAAAACCATTTGGAAAGAGCATAGCTTTTGCGGCAGAGAGATTTTTGGTGAGAGCTTCCACTTGCGTCAGCTGAATTGTGAGGAGAAGTAGCTTTTGTGCTGATGTTGATGGAGTGGTTCATCATCATGATTTGGTTGAGTTCTTCCACGTCTTGTTTGTGCACCAAACGGAACCCACACTTCTTTATACCCGACCAATATATTCTGTCTGGGTAAACGGCATAAGAAGTATGGAATGAAATCTTCATCTGACTGCATTCTTTGTCGACTACATAATGATATACACAAGATACCCAAAGGTGAGGTGACACAAGATGGCTTGTAATGGCATTACTACGCACGAGCGCACCTTCTCCTGGGCGACAGTCAATATTAAATTGGGTACAAAGGTCATTAGGTGGATTTGGGTGTTCTTCAAAGACAGCACAAAAAACAATCGAAATCGACGTGGTACATGGAGGTAGCTCCACAATTAAGGAATCTCCTACACTTTGATTATTGAACCACTCTGGAATTCTACTTCCAGGTGTTACAATTTCGAAATCGGGTTGATCTGAAATAGGCGGAGTGAGTAATGGTACCTGTGTACCATGTATAGGTTAGTAACTTGATTATTTATTTATTAATATAGCAAACAAAGAGAGACAGAGAGACAGAGAGAGAACCTGAAGGAATCCCCAATCCAGAGCAGTCCAGAGCATTCCAAGTATTATACTATCATCGCAGCCATCATTCTCAACCAATCCAGAGCAATTCAAACAACTGAACAAAACACGACTTCTTCCTTTTTTTATTCTCAACTTTGGCAACGTTTTTAAGGAAGTGCAATCGTTTGTGTACATGTATATATCGCTGAAGCCTTCGTTATCAACCAATCCAAAGCGGAAATGGGGCAATTGTTGAAGCCTTTGGCACCCACTCACCGAAAATGACTCAAGCTTAGGAAGACATCCAATGCTTGCAGGAAGACTAAGAAAATTGTTACCATTAAGGTATAAAGTTCGTAAAGAGGACAAGCAGTCAATGTCTACGGGAATATCCCCTTCACAAAGACCACAATCACTCATATTCAAATAATTCAAAGACCATAAACCATGTACCGAACCCAACACAAAAGCCTTTCTTTGGAGGCCTCGCCAAAACCTTGATTTGTCACTAAATGAGTTTCCACTTGCAGAGAGAAATTCAAGAGACTTCAAATTACAAATTTCGCTCGGAAGACCCAAGAGATTTTCACAATTACTTACATTCAGATAAGTAAGGCCCACAAGACGTCCAATTGATGAAGGTAATTTCTCAATGGACGTCCCTTCTAAAAGAAGATATGACAAATTTTCCATTTGCCCTGAAAATTCTGGAATCTTTTTCAGTTTTGAGCAATACTGAAGATTTAAACATATAAGAGAATCCATTTCTACCTCACTTGGAAGACTCTTAACACTTTTGCATCCGTCTAGTGTTAAAATTGTAAGCCATTTGAGATTTGCAACGGAGGGGTGAATCTCAACTAGATTCTCACACCGTTCAAGATTCAACTCCTGGAGTTTTGGAATGCCAGTGAAAATTGGGGTTCTTGCCAAGTTTCGAGAGCCACAAAGGTTCATGGTTTTCAAATTGGGCAAGTCCTGTTCAATATTACATGAAAAATAGTAGAATATATAATTAGCAACCAGAAAACTTAAACTTGTACTTATTTTTTTCAACAAATTCGTAAGATGGCATATGGTTAGTAATCTTACAATTCTTTCATCCCAGAGCCGAACTAGTTTGCTATCCTGCATCTCAAGTGTAACAAGTTTATTCGGTTGAAAATTTGATGGGAGATATTTGGAAGAATACCAATTCCATTTCAGAATTCTTAAGCAATTAGGAAGAATTCTGGGAATTGAGGAAATGATCACATTATCAACTTCAAGAAATTTTAGGTTAATCATCTTAGAAAATGCTTCACAATTCCAATCCGCCTTTTCAAGTTCTGCCATTCTTAAGGCAATGCCTTGAATTTTGTTAGTTGCCTGTAATAAAGAATAGAAAAGAAAAAGTTAATTCCACATGTAAGTCTAATTTTGAGCTAAAAAGAAATCATATTTCTTTATAAATAAATAAAAAAAATTGGTAATTTGTACATAACTTCTTACCGTATTGTTTATCAATACATGAATGATGTCATTACGATGACACAATCGACTACGTCCACTAGGCTCTTCAGGAGACTCTTGACGAACAATTTCAAATGCCATTTCTTGTATCAAATCATGCATCCCAACAATGTTAACGTTGTTTGAAATATCAATAGTTAAGAGCGACTTCTCAACGAGAGCATTTATCCCACCACAACGGTCACAACTGTCTAGTATTTCAATTACTTTCTTCTTGTCCTTCCCCTTAAGGAAAAATGCAACATCGAGAAATATATTCTTGTTCATCTCATCTAGTCTATCAAAACTAATTTTGAGCAAATCGAAAATTTCTATCTCAGGAATTTTCCGTAGCTTATCCAATTCAATTTTCCATTCATCTCGATCTCTCTTATACACAGAGCATCCCAAAATTTTAAGAGCTAATGGAAGGCCTCCAGCATAATTTACAAAGCACTTGCACAATTCCAAAAAACCTTCCTCAGGCTCAAATTTTTTAAAGGCGTTCAGACTAAAGAGCTCGAGCGCCTCATCATCACCTAATCCCTTTACCTTATATGATATCTTCATATCATGCTTTTTAACCAACCGTTCATCTCTAGTTGTAATGATGATTATACTCCCCTTACCAAACCAATCCTTTTCCTTAGCAAATTTCTCTAATTGGCTTGATGCATTCACATCATCAAGAATGAGAAGGACCTTTTTATTACATAAGCAATTCTTAATGAAATGGGTCCCCCAGTCTTCATTCAAAACTTGAGTAATTTGTTCCTTCAAGATAGGGAAAAGCAGCTGTCTTTGTAGATCAACAAGACGATTACCTTCAGAAGCCTCTCTAACATTAGCAAGAAAGCAACTAACTTCAAAATGAATAGAAATGCTATCATGAACTAGCTTAGCAATGGTTGTCTTACCGATGCCGCCCATCCCCCATATCCCTATAAAACGAACATCATCCGTAGGAGCTACAAGCAAATCCATTTGCTCACGTGTAAATTTAATTCCCACTAACTCTGTGGAATCTAACAATCTCAATGTGTGATGCACTTTCCCCCACACCCATTCAACAATCTTTTCAATGAGCTTTCTTTCACACCTACAAGGAAGAACAATGATTAAGTCAAAAGTATAAGCCATAGATATAACAAGGTCTAAAGGTATATCAAAGTGGAAATTGGCTTACGAAAAACTCAATTATATATGGAGAAGTTGCTTACTCATTCTTCGAATCCAACCCAGATAAATTGGCAACTTCTGTTAAAGCAGCCTTCCAGCGCGTCACCTTTTCTATGTCTTCCCTAAACCTTTTCTCATGCTCAGCGAAGGCGTCGGCAAAACTGCCACTTTGTTTTCGCACATCGGAGGGATCCACATTAAAAAACACAGGCAGAACTGTGCCGTTGGATTTCATGCATTGGAGAATCTTTGTAAGTTCATCCAAGCACCAGGAAGAAGAAGCATAGTTTGGCGAGATAACAACGATTGCAAGCCTTGATTCTTGGATTGCTTTGAAGAGCTCAGAAGAAATAGTTATCCCTCTTTCAAGCTTCGGATCATCCTTGAATGTTTTAATGCCCCTGTGCTGCAATTCGTGGTATAAATGGGATAAAAAGCTATTTCGAGTGTCTAACCCCCTGAAACTCAAAAACACATCGTAGTTCCATTGAGGAGGAGCCGACCGATCTGCTGAAGGATAAAAAGCAGAGGCTCTTTGGGTGCTCAACGCCATTGGAAATCTGCTGCTTCTGCTGTAAACACTACTCAATGACACAAGAACTTCGCTAATTAAATATTCAAAAATCCAAACAGTCAACTGAATGCAGCAGAACAAGTTTCAGAGCAACTGGGGAAATTTAGATAGTCAAACATGGATTTTGTCATGGTGTTAATTTGGATCATCTAAGAAAACATGTCAATTTGGACCATGTTAACAATAGATATCAAGTATCTAACCCAGCTCATATAGAACATTACTTCCAATTCAGCGGAGAGAGATTCAACATATTATTTAGCACAGCTCATAAGGAACAAAAAAGACCAATTTCAACATTAAAACAAAAATATTATGTCATCTCAAATAATGGGTTGGCATTAAAAAGCCTCATCACTAACTACACTAGTCAACTAAAAACTGCAAATGCTTTATCTTAAAGTTACCTGAACAAAGCAATTATGAAAATGAAAACGAAGCAAGGCAGCAGCTTTAGCTTAATGTTACAAAGCCAGAGAATTGATAAGACAACCACCGCAAGATCAGCAAGAAGCAAAGCTAGCAGCCTCAGAAAAGAGATGCAGAGAGAGAGAGAGAGATAAGTAATGCGAACAGAGAGAGAGGTGTAGAGAGGTGTAGATAAGGGTTCTTTACCATCTGTCGGAAAACATTGGCATCAGAGTAATATTTTGATCTTTCAAACTAAGACTCGGGGCCTTAATCAAGCTATTAGTCATTTTAAATTTCTCCTCAGTATAAGGTATTAAGTAATGACCTTCAGTTGAGTAATAATTTATTCCTACACTAGAAGTCTTAAGTTTGAGTACCCCATTTATAAATTCAAACGAAGTTTTGCACACATGATGATGACGTATGATAATAGTCCAGCATTTAGGAAAATTTTGTTCAATGTCAACAACATATGATGAGAGAGAACCGCGTAGTGAACACAGGTTTCTCTTTCCAACCATACAACGACTCCAATGAGAAAGGGAACATACGAAATTTCAAGCCAATCTGGCCAATAAGCACAAAACTATCAAGACCCCAAATTTGAGTTGATGACGAGGAGAGGAAAACAAAAAAATTATTAATAGAAGATGTGGTGCAGTGCAAGCCAATCTTGGCAAAAGAAAGAAGAGAAATAGACGAGACCATATTAAAAGGTGAAAGCATGGGAAAGGCATGTGGCAAATTTTAAAATGAAACTAGTGGAAGAAACGGAGGTGCGGGAACCGAAAAAGGGGAGAAAATAATGCTGTGATTGAAAGGCAGATAATTAAAAGAAAGAGAGATGAGAAGATAGCGCAAAAGTCGGGGTAGTGGAGAGGGAATAAAGATCAGAAAAAGAAAACAATGACAAAGAGAGAGTGTCTGTGAGGAAATAGACAGAGAGAGAAATGGATGAATATTGGCTAGGGAGGGGAGGAGATGTTGACAAATGTGAGAGGTGTGGAAAAAGGAGGCATATTGTGCAAAACAAGACAATAAAAAATTAGGAAAAATTACAAAGCACAAGACCAGCAAGCCAACCAGAAACTTACAAAGAAAAAATACTTCTCAAGATCAGCCCAGAAACCAACAAGAAGATGCGAAGCTAACAGCCTCAGGAGAGAGAGAGAGAGAGAGAGAGAGGAGAGAGTAAAGCTGGAAACGTGTAGTTACAGTAGTGAGAGCACACGATTTCTTTTGCTTTTCAATGAAGAGGAAGGAGTTTCGGACAAGTTCTTTGACTGCCGGATCAATTATTTCAATGGTTGTTTTCTTGGTAAATCGATCAATCAACAATATCGACATTTGATTAAAGCATCAAGGATTTTCCCAAACCTTTTGGCAAATTCAAATTTACAATAAGCCGACGTTAATAGCGAGAAAGCCTTACCGGAATTATAAGGAGACACTTAACCACACTAGAGAGCTTAGAATTTCCCATAGGTCCACCGTCTTGTGTGACTGCATGTGTTTGTCAGATTGCTTGGGGTTCACTACAAAAAAAGTGAGCAATAGTTACCATTTTTTTTGGTGACTATTGACAGCAACAGTCACCTTTGTTGGTGAGTAAAGCTCAATAGTAACGCTGCAGTCACGAATTTGGGTTGGTGATATATGAAGCCGACTATTGTCCTGTGTCACAAATTTAACAGCTTTCGTGACAAATTTAAGTTGACTGTCAACTGCCTCCGGAGTGCATGGGGCCCATAACACGTCAAATCAAATCTTTATTTGTGTATTAAATTTGTATTTGATATATTTCTTTTTCTTTTTTTATTTGGTATATCTCTTCCTTTTCATTTTTCAATAATTGACTAATAAAATACAGTAGTTGAATAATATATATACGTACAATCACTACCATTCAATACACAAAGAAACAATTCAATAATTATATCATTTGATTGCAATTTCATTACAGTTTTCAACCAAAAAAATTCATTACAATTCTCTAGTTGATTAATTACAATTTAGTCTGTCCTCATCATCTTCATCATCATCATCATCTTCATAATTCAAACCTAAAAATCAAAATGGAAAGTACAAAAATCAAACTCCAACTGGTAAAAATTAATTATATCTTGAGCGTTTGTTCTTTGTCCTTGTCTGAGAAAAAGAAAAACCAAATATAATCCATAACTTGGCGACGATAAATCTGAATCTTGATGATAGAACCTTTAAAAAGTTAAACAAACACTACAACAGTCACCAAAGCAGACCAAGAATGGTGAGGACTAACCCAAATCATTGACCATCTACCTAAATGTAACGAAAACTGATTTTGTTAATATGAAAACGTGACTATTGCCCACTTTTTTTTGTAGTGGTCCTATGTTGGGATGTTATCCTTCTGTCATAACTTTATTGAATCCCTTAATCATATTATGGGACAACAATTATGGTCCATTTTACAAGATTTTGGCATCAAATCCCCACCGACGTACTGACGTAGAGGATCATGTCCCAATGGCATCAGGTTTCACCTCCCCTCTTTACCATATGTTGGAAAATTTCGCATCATAGTAATGATTTGATCTTTCAAAATAACACTCAGGGCCTTAATCAAGCTCTTAGTCATATTAAATTTCTTCTCATTATAATCTATTAAGTAATAGCCTTACAATTGGTCAAGAGCATTATCCCTACACCAGAAGTCTTACGTTGAATTCCCCTTCCACCAATATCACTTATATATAAAAAAATAAAAATGAAAAGCACAAAATATTGTCCTCAAATTTGGTTAGCTAAATAATAATCTTCTAGCGGTATTTAATCTAAAGAGGACGCTGGAAATTCAAATTCTCTTTGCAGATGTTAGTAGCGTGACTCTTCATAGTGGCGCAACTCATACATTTATACGAAGTTTTGCACACATGATGACTTACGATAACAGTCTGAGGTTTAGTTTGAGATATAAAGGGGTATGCCAATTTCAGCTTACAAATATATATAAAAAAATTTGCTGGAAAGACCCAAAAGCAAAAAAACCAAAATGTGAAGTAATTTTGGACAAGCTTGAGAAACAGCTGAGAGAACGGGAGATGTCAATGCATTTGAACTGAAGATTTGCTGAATTAAACTCGAATATTGTATAATAAACATGAAAATCCACAAACTTGGACACAAGAAAACAAAAGCTAAATGAAGAACCAAAGATAGTAGCTTAAGACCACATAAGTAACTCTTACCCAAAACTTTATTTAAAGATTCCACGAAATTGATTCTCACAAGTCAAAAACTAGAAGCATCGATTCCGTTTCGAAAGTTGAAGAAATAACTCATGATTAGACAATCCAAAATGGGGTTCCTACAGTTTGAGGTTTCTTGGAGTTCATCTGACTAAAACAGGATTACTTTCCTCAAAGTCAAAATGGCAAAAGTCAAAGCATGGCTAAACAGAAATAACTTTGTATATACCGTGTACAAACAATGGCCATGAATCGGGCGCACAAAAAATGAAAATTTTAGGTGAATTGCTCTTTGATCAAACTCTGAAACAGCCTCGGAATGCCTTTGAAATATCTGCAAGTAAAAGGGCAATGGAAAAAAATGATAAAACTGTTGGAATTTTAAAAGGTTTTAAAAATTTAACCATTTTATTTATTTAATTATTTTGGCTGTTTTATTTTATTTATTATGGGGTTATAAATATTTAATATTGAGGCTTTGGTTGGTGAATGCCTTAATTTTTGGTTGGTGAACTTTTATGGTTGGTGAAGGTTACATATTTTTGGATGCCTATAAAAGATCACTCCTTCTTCATATTTGAAATATACACAATATACAATACACACAATACACCATCAGAATATTACATACACATTCTAAGTCTCTCCTTTTCTACTTTTACATATATATTCTCTACTTTATATTATTATTATTTTGGGCAATAGTTATGTGACTTGGATACCTATATCTGTCTATGAACGTGCTCATAGCGGATCTTGAGTTTGTGTACAAGGGGTCGTATCTTGGAATCTTGTAGACCGTCAATACCTTCACGTAGGGAGGCTACAAAGGCTTTAGGACAGCGTCTTTGACGTGCTTCACCGTACCAAACTCACCTTCTTACTTACTATTTATTTTCCTTTTACTTACCTATTATTTTGTTTTCTTCAATTTCATTATACCTTTAAAACTTTCCAATTTGTTTATATGTTATTTATAATATAAAGGTTTTGTATTTGGCTTTACGAAAGAGGAAAACTATTATTTTTCACACCAATCTAAAGCCTTTGTAGATTACATTTGTTTTCTTCCCGTACTGCTATTGCTTTAATATCTTTTAACTCTTTGACTGAACCTTTTGCATTTGTATTGGATTTTCAAAATGAAAATTACGATTTATTTTGAAGCTTTCATGTTGTCTATACAATTTCAACTGCTTTAAATATTGTTGGTACATTTATATGTTTATAATTAGTTGCTAATGTTTGGGAAATCACTGCTAGTGTTTGAAAATAAAAACCTGCAAACTAATTTATGTGGTATTATTATTATAGCTCAACGTATTATTATTTTATGTGGTGTGTCGGTTTTCTACAGCACAATTGTTTTTAAAATACATTTCAGAATCTTAATAATGTTAATAGCATTCAAAAGCTAATTAATGATCATTGAAATAATGAATATATGTATTGAAGTGACCAACGTTTTTCTAAGTTACTGTTTGTTTTAAATAGCTTGTATTGTTTCATTACCGATTACTTAATTATTACGTACTCATTAATCAATTGGGAGATTCACTTTTATACCCAATACAGGGGCCTAAATTATAAAAATACCCTACATGAAATGGACTTTAGAAATACACCCAAAGCCCATTTACAACATATCAAAGAGGCTTTTAACTTCTTATAAATTACAAAATTGCTATCAATTTCTTAAAACAAGCCCAACCCCAAAATCTCATAAAAATACCCAAAACACTCAATAGGACATCAAAGTAATTTAATAATCAATATTAAATTCAATAAAGCCAGCTGTCATTTTTTGGGTTTGTTTAAAGAAATTCAATGGTGTAGGGTTTATTTATAATATTAGTGCTAAGAATAGGTATATCACTAAATATCTCAATAATATAAGGCACGTTAAAGTTTTAGAAGGAAATTCCTTTCAAGAAAGTATCTTTAGCTCACAATACATCTAAATTTCTTGGGACTTTAATATACACTATAGCATATGTTGTAATGTCAATCTTCTTATAGCTACAGAATGATTTCCCTAGTGTGAAAATGTCATCCTCTGCTTTTGTGGAAATGTGAGTACATACATTTTGACTAGATTGACACCTACTACTCATTCATAAATCATGTGGTACCTCATAAATCCAGTTCTCCAAATGTTTTAATAAAAAAAGTTATTATAGTTTGTTTATTTCAAGATACAACTAGCACTGCCCAATTCCACTGAACATGTTGACCGCGGTATAAAATTTTCGTCTCATATGACGCTCACTTATACGACGGTTAATGAACCTCTCAGAATTCCAGTCTGTTACATGAGGTAATTTAGAACTCAGATATGCTAAATAAGAGAAGACTGCATAATTGAAGGAGATTGCACAAACTATCAAGGAGATTATTCCATCCTGCACACAACATAAGAGAGCAGTTGAAATAGTCACGTAAGTTGTGTGAATAAGAATCAAACCATTATAAGAAAACTAGGTCTAATGAGCTCGTAGCTCTTGAAGTGTAAATTTCATGCGAACCTGGCCAATAAGCATGCAACTACTTTTGATCAGCTTCAAATCGAGTATCACGACCGCAAATTTGAGTTGACTACTTTTGATAAGCTAGGTCTAATAAAAAACAATTCAGTCTATCTGAACATGCTTATTGATTGCTAATGTAATTACTTATTGATTTGCAGTACGTTAACAAATACTTCGTTCAAATGCATAAAATATGCAGCTCTTGCAAACATGTATATACTACATGAGTTGATTAATGCTCTGCAATAGTTTAAACAGAAATGCATTCATGACAAAAGCACATGAAGAGAGAGAGAGAGAGAGAGAGAGAGAGAGAGAGAGAGAGGAATTGTCATCCACAAAACAATAAGTGATGAATCTAATGGTAAATGTATGGCTAGAAAAGATAGTGATGGGAACTTACTAATATCAATTGTGAGAAGACCGTCATTAGCCTTTCAAATATTTATGTGCAGACATTTGAGGAGGCGGCATTTTAACAAAGGTCGCAAAAATTTAGCTGCTCTTTTAAGAATAACAGTTTTTATTAAACTTTTCAACAATAGCAAAAAATAAGAGGGTGCAAGGCCTAAGGAGGAAATCAAAGTGGTTACCCTCCAAATCAAAGGTCCTATGCATCCCCATTGTTCGCTATAGTTGAAAGATTTCATAAAAACTGCAGTTGTTAAAAAGAGGGAGAAAATCTTTACAAGTTTTGTTAAAAACCATTTGGAAGAGAGATTTTTGGTGAGAGCTTCCACTTGCATCAGCTGAATTGTGATCATTGTGAGAAGTAGCTTTTGTGGTGATGTTGATGGAGTGGATCATCATCATGATTTGGTTGAATTCTTCCACGTCTTGCTTGTGCATCAAACGGAACCCACACTTCTTTATATTCGAACAACATATTTTGTCTGAGGACAAATTACCGTCATGAAAAGCACGTAATGAAATCTTCATCTGACTGGATTCTTTGTCGACTACATAATGAAATGGACTTTAGTAATGTGATTAATACGCACACGGGTACCTTTTCCTGTGCGACATTCAATTTGAAAATAGGTAGAAAGGTCATGAGGTGGATTTGGGTGATCCACAGGGGCACCTTCTTCAAAGACAGCACATAAAGCAATCCAAATCGGCGTGGTACATGGAGGTAGCTCCACAAGTAAGGAATCTCCTACACTTTAAATTATTGAACCACTCTGGAATTCTACTTCCAGGTGTTACAATTTGGAAAGTGGGAATATTCCATGAAGATACCTGTACCATGTATAGGTTAACTTGATTATTTATTTATTATTATAGCAAACAAAGAGGGACATAGAGACAAAGAGAGAACCTGAAGGAATCTCCCATCCAGACCAATCCAGAGCATTCCAAGTATAGCATCGCAACCTTCATTCTCAACCAATCCAATGCAATTCACACAACTCAACACGAACCCAACATAACTTCTTCTTCTGTTTTTTATGCTCAACTTTGGCAACATTTTTAAGGAAGTGCAATCCTCTGTGTATATTCTAATAGTGTAGAAGTCATTCTCAATCAATCCAAAGCGGAGATGGGGCAATTGTTGAAGCTTTTGGCACCCATTGGCCTTAAGTGACTTAAGCTTAGGTAGACATCCAATGCTTGCAGGAAGGGTAACAAAATTGTTTCGACTAAGGTTTAATTCTTCTAAAGAGGACAAGCAGCCAATATCAACGGGAATATCCCATTCACAAAGACCACAATTACTCAGATCCAAAAGCGTCAAAGACCATAAACCATGTAGCGAACCCAACACAAAAGCCTTTCTTTGGAGGCCCCACCAAAACCTTAATTTATTAGACTGTGATCTACGTACTTTAATCATTTCAACAGAGCGTCCATCTGCATAGAGCGCTTTAAGAGACTTCAAATTACAAATTGCGCTCGGAAGACCCAAGAGATTTGTACAATTTCTTACATCCAGAGAAGTAAGGCCAACAAGACGTCCAATTGATGAAGGTAATTTCTCAATGGCAGTCCCACTCAAACCAAGCTTTGACAAATTTTCCATTTGTTCTGAAAATTCTGGAATCTTTCTCAGTTTAGAACAACCACAAAGACTTAAATATATAAGAGAATCCATTTCTATTTCCCTTGGAAGACTCTTAACACTTTTGCATCCATATAGTATTAGATCTGTAAGCCATTTGAGATATGCAATGGACGGGTGAATCTCAACCAAATTCTCACACCCTTTAAGATCCAACATCTGGAGTTTTGGAATGCCAGTGAAATTTGGGGTTGTTGCTAAGTTTCGAGACCAACTAAGGTCCATGTATTTCAAATTGGGTAAGTCCTGTACAATATTACATGAAAAAAATAGTAGAATATATAATTAGCAACTGAAAAACTTGAACTTTTACCTTTTTTTTTCAAAAAATTCGTAAGATGGCATATGGTCAGTAATCTTACAATTCTTCCATCCCACAGCCCAACTAGTTCACTGTCCTGCATCTCAAGCGAAACAAGTTTATTCGGTTGAAAATCTGATGGGAGAAATTTCGAAGGAAAATAATTCCATATCATAATTCTTAAGGAATTAGGAAGAATTATGGGGCTTGAAGTATTGATCACATTATCAACTTCAAGAAATTTCAGGTTAATCATCTTAGAGAATGCTTCACAATTCCAATCCGCCTTTTTAAGTTTCACCATGCGTAAGGCGATGCCTTGAATTTTGTTAGTTCCCTATAATAAAGAATAATAAAAGAAAAGTTAATTCCACATTTAAGTCTAATATTGAGTTAAAAGGAAATCAAATTTCTTTATAATAAAAAAATGGTATTTTCTAAATAACTTCTTACCGTATTGTTTATCAATACATGAATGATGTCATTACGATGACACAATTGACTGCGTCCACCGGGCTCTTCAGGAGACTCTTGACGAACAATTTCAAATGCCATTTCTTGAATCAAATCATGCATCCCAACAATGTTTAAAATATCAAAAGTTAAGAGCGACTTCTCAACCAGAGCATTTATCCCACCACAACGGTCACAACTGTCTAGCATTTCAATTACTTCATTCTTGTACTTCCCCTTATGGAAAAATGCAACATCAAGAAATATATTCTTGTTCATCTCATCTAGTCCATCATAACTTAGTTTGAGCAAATCGAAAATTTTTGGCTCAAGAATTTTCCGTAGCTTATCCAATTCACTTTCCCATTCATCTCGATCTCTCTTATACACAGAGCATCCCAAAATTTTAAGAGCTAAGGGAAGGCCTCCAGCATAATTTACAAAGGACTTGGACAATTCCCAAAAACCTTCCTCAGGCTCAAATTTTTTAAAGGAGTTCAGACTAAAGAGCTCGAGAGCCTCATCATCACCTAATCCCTCAACCTTATATGATATCTCCATATCATTCTTTTTAACCAACCGTTCATCTCTAGTTGTAATGATGATGATACTCCCCTTACCAAACCAATCCTTTTCCTTAGCAAATTTCTCTAGTTGGCTTGATTCATTCACATCATCAAGAATGAGAAGCACCTTTTTATTACATAGGCAATTCTTGATGAAATAGGTTCCCGACTGTTCATCCCAAACATCAGTTATTTGTTCCTTTAAGATCAGGGAAAGAAGCTTTCTTTGTAGATCAACAAGATTACCACGTTGAGAAACCTCTCTAACATTAGCAAGAAAGCAACTAACTTCAAAATGCATACAAATGCTATCATGAACTAGCTTAGCAATGGTTGTCTTGCCGATGCCGCCCATTCCCCATATCCCTACAAAGCGAACATCATCTGTAGGATCTAAAAGCAAATTCATTTGCTCACGTGTAAACTTAATTCCCACAATTCCCTCTAACTCTGTGGAATCCAACAATTTGAATGTGCGATGCACTTTCCCCCACACCCAATCAACAATCTTTTCAATGAGCTTTCTTTCACACCTACAAGGAAGAACAATGATTAAGTCAAAAGTATATAAGGAAGAACAATGGTCTAAAGGTACATCAAAGTGAAAATTGGCTTACGATATGTGGAGAAGTTGCTTACTGAATCTTATTTGAATCCAACCCAGATAAATTAGCAACTTCTGTTAAAGCAGCTCTCCAGCGCTTCACCTTTTCTATGTCTTCCCTAAACCCCTTCTCATGCTCAGCGAACGCGCCTGCAAAACTGTCGCTTTGTTTTCGCACATCGGAGGGATCCACATTATAAAACACAGGCAGAAGTGTGCCGTTGGATTTCATGCATTGGAGAATCTTTGTAAGTTCACCCAAGCACCAGGAAGAAGAAGCATAGTCTGGCGAGAGAACAACGATTGCAAGCCTTGATTCTTGGATTGCTTTGAAGAGATCAGAAGAAATAGTTGTCCCTCTTTCAAGCTTTGGATCATCCATGAATGTTTT